ATGGGTCATGCCTAAGCAAAACCTTGCCGAGGCAGCGAGGGGAAGAAGGGTCGGATGGGTGTGTGTGTTTTTATTATTAGCATCGACCGCGCTACGTCAGTCTCAGTGCGGTTGAAACACAAGACACTTCTATCTACGNCCCGTGCTGCTAGCAGATCTACCATGCTCGTATCCAGACACACGAACAAGACTCCCCCCCTCGCCATGGGTCATGCCTAAGCAAAACCTTGCCGAGGCAGCGAGGGGAAGAAGGGTCGGATGGGTGTGTGTGTTTTTATTATTAGCATCGACCGCGCTACGTCAGTCTCAGTGCGGTTGAAACACAAGACACTTCTATCTACGATGAACTGGGACCCCGTGAGGGGGCAGCATGGAGGAGGCTAAACTATCCTTCGGATCAAAGACAGAAACAGCAGCAACGACAGAAGAAAACTGCACGCGTCTACCAAGGCTACTCCCTTGTACTCGAGTTCGTTTAGGAGTACTTTCACCATTATCCTCCTTGTTTTCGCTATCATCATTCTGATCCTCATGTTGACAAACAAGAATCTCTGGGCAGTTCTTTCCTAGTCCTACGTCTTTTGTTTTGGGGAAGGTCATTTGGCTCAAACCCTTTGCTCTCTTCCATTCTTCCATGTTTTCCTCCTCCATCGTCGTCTTCCTTCTCCTTTCTTCCCTTTCCCTTCCCTTCGTCTCCATCACTCCCAAACGAATTACCCCCATTACTGTCGTTGTCGCAGAGATCCCAACCGATTAGCCCCGGTGTAAGTTGGTCGATCAGTAGTAGCCCATGACGTTTGAACACATCGCGAGTTCTTAAGGACAGAAAACGAGCTAGCTCGAAGGCAAACCGTCTCCGAATCCTGCTAGGATGAAAAGCTTTCAGGCGAACTACGGCTCTTTCGTCGTCAAAATTCCCCCGGCGAAAAGCTTCGTGCGCCAAGTTGTTGGCGATAGCAACGATGAGTGGATCGGTGCCTTTGCCAAGACCACCATTCGTTGAAAAAGCATCAGTAAGGAGGTTAGATCTACATATTCGTCAACCCTAAGTGGTATGCCCTTGTTGTCTTTGTAGAGACTGTAGTACTTGATGTTTACATGCTTGTTATCTCTCACACCTGGTTGGGGGGAAAGAGCAGGGAGTGCCACGTACACGACAGCTGACGGCAGCTGGCGTGGGCGCTCCGCACAATCATTCTATGGTCGTACTACCCAACGCATACTACCTATGTGCAGGGCACCTGAAACAGTCATCTCGTCTACAGATCCGACTAGATACGCACTCACACGAACACCCTCCTTGGTTTTACGCAAAAGTAACTAACCACTTCTGAATTCTGTGGGATGCGTGCTCCCGCCACCTCAAGTCAGGTGCTTCTGCAACAAATCAATAAAAACCTAAGGGGAAACCCGGCCACCAGGTCAAAACCCCTCCTTCGCAAGGACGGTACTCCGGAAAAGCAGGATAAAGACGCAAACAGGATAACTCCGACAACGTAGGCGATCCGGGTAACCTTCCCGCCACATTTCAATATCACCTTTTTCCTAGTACCCAACAAATTCCAAAAAGTCTGCAGCCACTGCCACGATTTTACTCCCACAAAGCCCAAACGAAAGTCCGTTGCAATTTACTCCTACTGCCCTCCCCGCTCGACGAACAACTATCGATGATCTGAGCACCTAACTTCCTCCCTCCCCCTTGATTTCGGCACTTCGCGGCGCCCCCGGGGTTTGTGGTGAATGCTATCATCCTGGGACAGCTGTTCTGTCAAACACATCAAGCATGATAAGCCTTCTTGCATACAACTCTTACTCCGACTCTCGGAGATTCAAACTTCAGCCTGCTTACACACACCTCTTCGACTCTCAGAAAAAACAAAATCTTCAATTCTCAATCACCATATACAGCACGCGTCGATATGGTTCTCCCTTACTCGAAAGGAGCTGCAGGCCGTTCGCTGCACCACACAAAACACCTCTCTCATCCTACACTCGCGGGAAACACTCCGGACGGTCTACATGCATGCATCGAGAACTCATCATCGCTGGGGCTTCTCCCCTCCTATATGACAAACAAGCACAGTGATTCTTATCATGGGGCTTCTCCCCTCCTACAAGACACACACTGCTGTAGTAAACAGTGATTCTTATCATGAGGCTGCTCCCCTTCTACGAGACACACACTGCTGACATAGATATTGGATACGCCTTGCTACTGCGAATCCCTCAATAAGGCGAATACATCTGGTACATGGGTCCACACCTGCAGCAACAACGGAAATGTCACCTACAACAGTGGCATCCCCTCCCCATTTCCGCCTCATCCTGCACAACAAGGTGGGACATCTGGTACATGGGTCCACACCTACCTGTAGCAACAACGGAAATGTCTACAACAGTGTCCCCCCCTCCCCATTTCCACCTCATTCTGCACAAGGTGACACATCTGGTACATGGGTCCACACCTACCTGTAGCAACAACGGAAATGTCACCTACAACAGTGTCCTCCCCTCCCCATTTCCACCTCATGCTGACACCTGCACAATTTTAACTGCGCTGGTATCTGCAACTTCGATACACCGGGTCCTGTGTACCCCATTTCTGGCCGACACGCTGGATACTGATTAACCCTGTGCGTTAGTTTTCAATCGGCTTTGATACACCTGGTCCTGTGTACCCCTTCATTTCAGCCGACACGCTGATTACTGTTTTACCCCTGGGCGTGAGTTTTCAATCGGCTTTGATACACCTGGTCCTGTGTACCCCTTCATTTCAGCCGACACGCTGATTACTGTTTTACCCCTGGGCGTGAGTTTTCAATCGGCTTTGATACACCTGGTCCTGTGTACCCCTTCATTTCAGCCGACACGCTGATTACTGTTTTACCCCTGGGCGTGAGTTTTCAATCGGCTTTGATACACCTGGTCCTGTGTACCCCTTCATTTCAGCCGACACGCTGATTACTGTTTTACCCCTGGGCGTGAGTTTTCAATCGGCTTTGATACACCTGGTCCTGTGTACCCCTTCATTTCAGCCGACACGCTGATTACTGTTTTACCCCTGGGCGTGAGTTTTCAATCGGCTTTGATACACCTGGTCCTGTGTACCCCTTCATTTCAGCCGACACGCTGATTACTGTTTTACCCCTGGGCGTGAGTTTTCAATCGGCTTTGATACACCTGGTCCTGTGTACCCCTTCATTTCAGCCGACACGCTGATTACTGTTTTACCCCTGGGCGTGAGTTTTCAATCGGCTTTGATACACCTGGTCCTGTTCACCCCTTCATTTCAGCCGTCACGCTAGATACTGGTTTACCTCTGTGCGTGAACCTTTCATTGACTGCGGGGAGCCCTTGTGCTGCATCCCTTCATTTGATACACCTGGTCCTGTGTACCCCTTCTGTTCAACCGACACGCTAGATACTGGTTTATCTCTGTTCGTGAATTTTCATCGGTTGTGGGAAGCGCCTATGCTGCACCCCCTCCTTCGATACGCCTGGTCCCGCGTACCCCTTTTATTCTGCCCCAGACAATTTTTTCATCGCCCGCGGACATCATGAAATGGAAGCGCCTGTACCGCGAATCCCCATCATAGAGTGACTGGTTTTCGGAGCCGAATTACCATCGTCGTACGAAACACCCGCGATAACACGCCTGGACTTTACCATCGAAAATGACGAACTACAAATGCTCAACAAAACACCCACACTCAAGATTGGAAACGCCTGAACCGCGAATCCCCTTTCGAAGATCATCCATGATTGGTCGTATCATCGTAAGCGAAGCTACCATCACTCTACGAACACCAAATCAGAAAATGGAAACGCCTTAACCGCAAATCCCCTGTAGAACTTTCGATATCATTCGTCACAAGCAAAATCATTCAATATTACTCACGAATCTCAACCAGAAAGAAGCGCCCCGCGGCAACACCGCGTTGTTGTTGGCCCTCGTTCAAAAGCACAGCAGATTTCGCGGTCTCGCCCTTGCTCCTCTGAGGCAATTCCACGTTCACCAGAATCGCCGTGACTGCAGTCCTCCAGTTCTCCAGCGCGTACTTTTCCCGCGACCAACAGGCTCGTGTGCTGTGCCGCCCGCTNGTTGTTGTTGGCCCTCGTTCAAAAGCACAGCAGATTTCGCGGTCTCGCCCTTGCTCCTCTACGGCAATTCCACGTTCACCAGAATCACCGTGGCTGCAACCGGACTCCAGCGTGTACTTTTCCCGCGATCAACAGGCTCGTGTGCTGTGCCGCCCGCTACTCCACCGCCGACACCANAGAAGCGCCCCGCGGCAACACCGCATTGTTGTTGGCCCTCGTTCACAAGCACAGCAGATTTCGCGGTCTCGCCCTTGCTCCTCTGCGGCAATTCCACGTTCACCAGAATGGCCGTGGCTGCAATCCTCCAGTTCCCAAGCGCGTACTTTTCCCGCGATCAACAGGCTCGTGTGCTGTGCCGCCCGCTACTCCACCGCCGACACCACCACCCCTCTGCTGCCTTGTCATTGGGCCGGTCCCAACAGCTCGCTCATGTGTGCGGCCCCGAAGTATTATCCTCCAGGCTCCACCTCCTGACACCTCGTTCCGTGTGCCCGGGGCAGTCAACCTACCCCCAGCAGCGCCTCTGCTAGAGCTGCCAACCGCACAGAGAAAATCGATGGTCTGGGACCCACCAAACCCACCATTTGCAGGGACGTCAAACGCCCGCACCGGTTCACCTTCCGTGCCCGATCTACTGCTGCTCTCTCTTCCAGCGGCGTAATCTGTTCTAACGCCAGCCGCAGCGTGCAGCTCTGACAGGCAGCTGCCTGGCGGCGAGATTCCGACAATCCCACCGCAGGATGCGGTGCGTCTCCCAGCACCGCCTGACCCCCCTCGGCTCCCGCAATCTGACTTTGCCTGCAGCAGCGATGACATCTTGTCCATCATCCCCTGCATCCAAGCTCCCTGCGCATTATTTCCCAGCGGGGGGGCAGCGGATGGGTGGCCCGGGGGGCCTACTCCCCCGACTCCACCGGGTGGCACCCCAAACCGTGTGCCCGGCGCGGCTCCTCCGCGCCCTGCGGCGTTGCCAGCGCCGCTTGACTCCCCCTCTTCTGCCGCCGCCGCCCTGGCAGGCGGCATCTGAAGTTGCCCTAGCTCCTCCATGACAGCCGACAGCACCTTGCTCTGTCCCTCCAGCCTCTTGACAGCTCCGTCACGCGCGTGTCGATCGTGGTTCCGCCGCTATCGCTCGCTGGGGTATCGCCAGGCATAATCTCTGCAAAGGGGCTCCTTCAAAGGAAACTCTGGAGTATTCGTCAACCTTAGGTGGTATGCCCTTGTTGTCTTCATAGAGACTGTAGTGCTTGATGTTTAGATGCTTGTTATCTCTCACACCCGGTTGGGGGGAAAGAGCAGGGACGGTTGGGGAGTGCCACGCACACCACACAGCTCAGGAGGGCACGGGGATTGCAATCCCATACACCTATGCTAATAAATCAC